CGCGGAGCAGAGCTGCAGGGCGCCCTCGCGCTCCGAAGCCAGGCGCGATCGCGTCGCTCCACAGTCAGTTGTCAGGAGGGGAAAAAACACACAGACACAATTAATCGGCGATTCCCAGAAAATATGGGAAAATATGGGAAGTGGGGGGGAAGACAAAAACCCAGAAAATATGGGAAAATATGGTGGATAATTTTATTTGTGTATTTATTTGTGTGTCCCAGTTCCCCTTCAAGTTGAGGGGCCCGGATTCACCACATTTGTACAGGACTGCACGACACAGGTTGCAAGAAACCGCAGAACACATGAAGCATAAAGCAGCCTGAGACATCAAGACAACAGGATTGTCAATCAGGACGGGGGGGGGTTGCCGGTCTTTTCGGCCTCGGGGGGCCCTCTCCAGGCGTCGGGGCCGTCAGAAACGACTCGGGACGAAGAGCCGGTCCCGGGGAACGGGTCGGGGCTTCCGGGGACCCCGTATCGAACAAAAATCAGGACGTCGCATGTTTGGGAACCAGACGCCGTCCAGGCGCCCTTGCCTCGCGCCGTGTCATGGCGCCAACACCGCAGATCGGATTCCGTTCGGAAAACGATGGGGTGGGCTCGGAGTGTCCTGGATAATTTCGTTCTGGGGTTCGAGGTGAGTTTCGTGCGGAGTTTTTGGAGGCCAGGAGCGAAGACCCACAAGACGTCCACGCGAAGCTCGCTTCGTTTTTTTCGCGCGCCGCCTCGGGCGAAAAAGTCCGCGCAGAAGTCCACGCAGGAATCCGCTGCAGCACGTCTGCAAGGCCGCTGCAGTGAAATTCGCCTGGGGACCAGACGCCGTCCGGGCGCCCTTGCTCAGGAGGGAAAGAAACACACAGACACAATTAATCGTCGGTTTTCCAGAAAATACGGGAAAACATGGGAAGTGGGGGGGAAGACAAAAACTCAGAAAATATAGGAAAATATGGGGAATGTTTTTATTTGTGTGTATTTATTTGTGTGTCCCAGGGCCTCTTCACTTGCCTCGCGCCGTGCGGGAGTTCCTCGCGCCGCCGCGGCCCGGGCCCTCCCGCGGCCGACGCGCGCGGCCTGCGAGGTCCGGCTTTTGACTGCGGCAGGCGGTGCTCGACCGAGCGACTCCTGGTTCGAGCGGCGTGAGCAATGGAGCGTGTGTTTCTTCCTCGCTGGAAGCATAATGGGCCTTCTAGCCCCCTCCCCCCCTTCCCCCCCCCCCCCCCCCTAATGACGTAACGCCCCCCCCCCCCCAGTGCGCTCTGGGCACTGCGCCGTGCGCATCGGGCACACGGCGGGGGGGGAGGCGTTGCATTGTACCCCTCCCCAGGCCCCCTCCCCCCCCCGGTAATGCCCATCATCGCCGAAAATAAGCGAGGCCCTCATAGAAACATGCGATTTGTTGCATGTCGCCAGATTCGATTTTGAAGCTGGTTCCCAAAAACGTGAATCACGTCAAAGCGTACAACCATCAATCTAAAACAAGCGTGTGGTCAGCCTACCAGACGATGGGCTTGATTCAGTGGGGAAGCGCTGAGACTGCCAGCAATAACCCTACAATGTTTCAAATCCATCGAACTCCCAAGGCGGTGCAGCCTTTTCTGTTGTTGCATCATGTCGCGAGCCTTTTCAATCTGAAAGGACTTTCAGGACAAATGTGTGACACGCTTCCATGTCAAATGTATGATTAATCTTGGCGTTGGTTTTCTCGTGGGGCGGCTTGAATGAGCGAGTTCAGAGATTGCGCTGTTTCCGTGAGGTTTACGATTTCAGTTGAGGTGCAGCATGAAAATACTACACCAAGTCTATGCCATCTATTGCGTATTGGAAGTGGTCGATGCTGGTGGTGTTGGAGAGGGTCTGCTTGCGAGGTCGGGGGAGAAATTATGATAGTTAATTCTGTGTTTGTTTCGAAGCCGCGGTGCAAACGGAGTGGATATTCATCCTTCGTCTAATATGTTCCATGCCTGGAGGCCGATGGCGATAATGTATCGGAGGGGTGGCCGACCAGGGAAATGTTGTATCTTTTACAGAGTTGTAATTTTGCTAGGTTGAACTCGTGGGAGGTGCTGACAAATTACAGAAGTACGTTTTCAGATGTTCCGTGTTCGGAGCGGTCGATGCAGGTGTGCTTTCGGGGGGGGAAGCGGCGTGCAAGGGGGAAGCTGAGAATTTGTGTTGGGTACTTTTGTTGCAGGCTTGAAGTCCATATGCAGTTGTGGGCACCGCAATTGTTAATATCTTCTTAGGTGGAGCTCCCTATCGGGCCACGAAGCGCTGCACTGGGTGGGGGGGAAGGCATGCGGGCGGTAGCACTGGGGCCGTCGGTGGAGCTCCCTACGGGACCACGAAACGCTGTACTGGGTGGGTGAAAATGCCAAATTGTGCGTGCGTGTGGGACGCACGCGGACAGTCCCACTGGGGGCTTCGGCGGAGCTCCCATATGGGGCCACGAAGCGTTGCTTTCACGGCGCACGCGGACGGTCCCATTGCGGGCTTCGGCGGAGCTCCCGAATGGGCCACGAAACGCTGCACTGAGTGGGTGAAAATGCTACATTGGGCTTCCGGGACCCATGTGGGCGGTCCCATTGGTGGCTTCGGTGGAGCTACTAATGGGGCCACCAAACGTTGTATTGGGTGGGTGAAAATGCAAAATTGGGTGTGCGGGATGCGGACAGTCCCACTGGGGGCTTCGGTGGAGCTCCCCATGGGGCCACGAAACGCTGTACTGGGTGGGTGAAAATGTCAAATTGCGTGTGCGGGACGCACGCGGGCGGTCCCAGTCGTGGCTTCGGTGGAGCTCCCTATGGGGCCACGAAGCGCTGTACCGGGTGGGTGAAAATGCCAAAGTGGGTGTGCGGGACGCATGCGGACGGCCCCATTGGCCACGAAACGCTGTACTGGGTGTGGCGGACGCATGCGGCCACCCCTACTGGAGCCTCCGATGGAGTTCCTTATGGGGCCACGAAGCGCTGTACTGGGTGTGGCGGACGCTTGTGGTACCCCCCACTGGGGGGTTCGGTGGAGCTCCCGTATGGGGCCACGAAACGCCGTACTGGGTGTGGCAGACGCATGTGGTCCCCCCCCCTTGGGGCCATACGTGGGGCTCCCTATGGGGCCACGAAGCGCTGTACTGGGTGTGGCAGTCGCATGTGGTACCCCCCCCTCTGGGGCCTTCGGTGGAGCTCCCTGTGGGGCCACGAAACGCTGTATTGGGTGTGGCAGACGCATGTGGTACCCCCGCCCTTGGGGCCTTACGTGGAGCTCCCTATGGGGCCACGGAACGTTGTACTGGGTGTGTCGGACGCATGTTGTACCCCCTCGGGGCCTTACGTGGAGCTCCTTACGGGGCTAGGAAACATTGTATTGGGTGTGGCAGACGCATGTGGTATCCCCCCTGGGGCCCTCGGTGGAGCTCCGTGTGGGGTCACGAAACGTTGTACTGGTTGGGTGAAACGCATGGAGGAGGGAGGAGGGGGAGGGGGCACGGGAGGAGGAGAAGGAGACGCGGGGACCATTTTCAAAACGAGGACCCAACACCACAGGATGGTTGGGAAATTACCATGGCGACGTACCCAACCCTTTGGCAATGCGGGGCATAAATACATCAGGATTGCGACAACGGGTGCGATGACGTAACATGGACGCATGTGATTTTGCGAGCAGCTAACGGAAGGCCCGCAGGCCCCCGATCAAGACATAAGCACGTCGCAGTGGTTATTAATGCACCCCCCCCCCAGGGACGGCGAGGTCTCGCTCAGGTCTCCGCGGTGTCTCACTCCGCTGGATCCAACAGCAGCCCTCGAAAGTGGCGACAGCGTCGCAGATCGCAGCCCCTCAGGGACGGCGAGGTCTCGCTCGGGTCCCCGCGGTGCCTCAGCCCGCTGGACCCAACAGCCGCCCTCGAAAGTGGCGGCAGCGTCGCAGATCGCAGCCCCCCCAGGGACGGCGAGGTCTACCTCAGATCCCCGCGGTGCCTCAGCCCGCTGGACCCAACAGCCGCCCTCGAAAGTGGCGACGGTGCCGAAGATCGCAGCACCCCGGGGACGGCGAGGTCTCGCTCAGATCCCCGCGGTGTCTCAGTCCACAGGACCCACCAGCGACCCTCGAAAGTGGCGACAGCGTCGCAGATCGCAGCCCCCCAGGGACGGCGAGGTCTCGCTCAGATCCCCACGGTGCCTCAGTCTGCAGGACCCACCAACAGCCCTCGACCACCAGCAGCTTTCGAAAGTGGCGACAGTGTCTCAGGTCGCAGCCCCCCAGGGACGGCGAGATCTCGCTCAAGTCTGCGCGGTGCCTCAGTCCACAGGACCCACCAGCAGCTCTCGTAAGTGGCGACAGTGTCGCAGGTCGCAGCCCCCCAGGGACGGCGAGGTCTCGCTCAAGTCTGCGCGGTGCCTCAGTCCGCAGGACCCGCCAGCAGCCCTCGAAAGTGGCGGCAGCGTCGCAGATCGCAGCCCCCCAGGGACGGCGCGCAGACACACACACACACACACACACACACACACACACACACACAAACACACAAACATACAAACATACAAACATACAAACATACAAACATACAAACATACAAGCATACAAACATACAAACATACAAACATACAAACATACAAACATACAAACATACACGTACACATACACGTACACATACACATACACATACACATACACATACACATACACATACACACACGAGGTACGCACAAGACAAGAGACAAGACGGAATCGGGAGACGGGTGGCGGGAGAAGAAGGAGAAGGACGCGACCACCGTGCTCTATTCTAAACGAATACCCAACCAAGTAGGGTTGGGAAAAAACAGTTTCCATCGATCCGTCTTGGGGTTGGGCGATGGTGGTGGTTCCGCGAGGAGCCGGCTTGCAAGAAGGAGGTGATGCTTTCTGATCGGCAGGGGGGGCAAGATACGTGAAGTGGAGGCAGGGGCGGAGAGAGAGAGGAGCCGCGGCGGGGGGCGATGTGGGGACGGAGGGCGAGCCCACGCGAGGCAACGGAGTGGTAAACTACGCGGACTTCTTGGCCGCCGCCCTTGAGGACGCGTCCGCCTGCCACCGCTCCCTCCTCGCTCCTCTTCCTCACCCTCCTCCATCGTCCATCTTCCAGCATCCACCCTCTGGATGGATACTTCCAGACGCAGCGGGCCATCCTGGGTTGACGCCGGCGTGTCGCGCATTTGCTGGCAGACCCGCGGCGCCGCCCGCACTGAGGCTGAGCGCACCAAAAAAAATCTTCCAGTATCCATCCTCCGTCCTCCCGCATTCACCGTACCCGTCCCCTCTCTCTGCCTCCGTCTGCCCTGCTTCATACTCTTTGCCATCCTCTTTCTTCCTACGTCGCCTCCTCCCTAGATCCTCCCCACCCTCCTCCTTGTTCCTTTGCCCTTCGTCCTCACACCTTGCTCCATCCTCCCTCCTTGCCCCCCTTCTCCAAGTCCTTCTCCTTTCTTTCCCCTCCATGACCTCTCCTCTCTACTCCTTTCTCCTTCCCCCTCCCCTTCCTTCCACAATTACACATTATGAACGCGACGCTTCTCTCCCCTGACCCGGTCTGGCAGATGTCTGGCCCTCTCCGCGTACTGTTCACTTACATGGGATTAGTGAATTAGTCGCATGGTTGTGTTTACAATCTTATTGTTCCCAACCATTTTGTGGTGCTGGGTCCTCGTTTTGAAGAGAGCGCCCCGCGACATCTCCTCACCCCCCATCCCCCTCATCCCACCATCATCATCATCATCATCATCATCATCAGCAGCAGCAGCAGCAGCAGCAGTAGCGGCAGCATCATCGTCGTCATCAGCATCAGCATCAGCATCAGTATCGGCATCGTCAGTATCGTCATCATCCTCATCATCATCAGCATCATCAGCCTCACCATCCTTATCACCATCAGCATAACCATCATCACCATCATAATCATCATCGTCATCAGCAGCAGCAGTATCATCATCATCATCGCCGTCGTCATCATCATAATCATCCGTATCATCATCATCATCATCATCATCATCATCATCATCATCATCATCATCATCATCATCATCATCATCATCATCATCGTCATCGTCGTCGTCGTCGCCGTCATCATCGTCATCGCGCGCGCTGTCAGCATCTCCATGATAGCGCCCGCACGCGGTTCCATCCTCCATGTCGGCACACCCGATCACACGTTTCGTGGTCCCGTAGGGATTTCCACCGACGGCCACAGTGGCAGCGCTCGCATGCGGTTCCACCCCCATCTCGGTGCACCCTTCACACGTTTCGTGGTCCCGTAGGGGGCTCCACCGAAGGCCCCAGGGGCAGCGCCCGCATCCAGTTCCACCCTCCATTTCGGCGCACCCCTCACACGTTTCGTGGTCCCATAGAGAGCTCCACCGAAGGCCCCAGTGGCAGCGCCCCCACCCCTTATATCGGTGCAACCCGCAGACGCTTCGTGGTCCCATAGGGGGCTCCACCGAAGGCCCCAGAGGCAGCGCCCGCATGCAGTTCCACCCTCCATTTTGGCGCACCCCTCACACGTTTCGTGGCACCGTAGGGAGCTCCAACAAATGCCCCAGTGGCAGCGCCCGCATGCAGGTCCACTCCCTTTATGTCGGTGCACCCCTCACACATCTCGTTGCCCCATAGGGAGCTCCACCGAAGGCCACAGTGGCAGCGCCCGCATGCGGTTCCACCCTCGATTTCGGCACACCCCTCACACGCTTCGTAGCCCCACAGGGAGCTCCACCCAAGGCCCCAGTGGCAGCGCCCGCATCCAGTTCCACCCCCCTTTTCGGTGCACCCCTCACACGCTTCGTGGCCCCATAGGGAGCTACACCGAAGGCACCAGTGGCAACTCCAGCATACGGTTCCACCATCATTTTCCAGCACACCCTTCAAACGCCTCGTTGCACCGTAGGGAGCTCCACCTGAGGCCCCAATGGCAGCGCCCGCATGCAGTTCCACCCTCCATTCCGGTACATCCCTCACACGTGTCGTGACCCCATGACTTCAGGCCCCAGGGGCAGCGCCCGCATGCGGTTCCAGGCGTCATGTCGGTACATTTTTCACACGGTTCGTGGCCCCATGGGATCTCCACCGCAGGTTCCAGTGCCAGCGCCCGCATACAGTTCCACGTTCCGTGGCCGCATAGGGAGCTCCACTGAGGGCCCCAGTCGCGGCGCCCGCATGCGGTTCCACCCTCCATGTCGGCGAATCTTTTGCACGTTTCGTGGCTGCATAGGAAGTTCCACCTAAGGCCCCAGTGGCAGCGCCCGCATCTGGTTCCACCCCGATTTCGGTGCACTCCTTACACGTTTCATGGCCCCAAAGGGGGCTCCGCAGAAGGCTCCAGTGGCAGCGCCCGCATCACCCTCGCCACTCTGAGTTCAGACATGCCTTGGCTTAGGGCGCGAACGGTCCTTGCAGGCTTCGACTTGTAAATCGCGGGGGGCAGGTGTAGCATGATGTTCCTCTGAGCCCAGCGGCGCGCCACTTCAGGAGGGCTAAAAGATTGCGCCTCGGTTCCCACGTCCTTGGGGGGTGGTCCAATTGGGCCCCCCGCAGCCTGTCGAGCACTGATGCCTGCGATATGTCATTGCTTGTCGGATTGTTTTTGTTTCATGCGTCGCCTCCGACCCCCCGCGGGCATGACATCTCTTGCTCGCCGGCTTGGTCGGGCCCTCGGCGCCCGCGGCCTGGCTCTGGCTCGTACGCACCGTCCCTCTCCCCTCCAATCCCTCCCGACTCGCCATTCCCTCCTCTTCCCCCACCCCGTCGTCGTCACCATGCCTCCCCTGTCCTCCTCTTCCTCCCGCGTCCTTGTCCCCGTCGTGTGATCATCCTCCCCCTCCTCCTCCTCCTCCTCCTCCTCCTCCTCCTCTTCCTCCTCCTCGCAGTTCGCTTCCTCATCCTCGACTCCCCCAGTCCTTCCTCCCTTCTCACTCCATCGTCCTGGCAATCGTCGCTCACCCTCCTCTGCCCACCTCTCATTGCTCTCTGTTCCATTTGTCCCACCTCATCACTGTCACCTTCAGCATCACCATCACCAGCGACAGCCATCATCACAATCACCACCACCACCAGTATCATCATCATGCCCCCGGAGGGGCACCCCCATTAGCGGGGCGTCGGGCCAAAGCGCCTCCCTGGTGAAGGCGGGGGCCACGGGGCCTTCGGGGTTCATTATTCCTCCTCCTCCTCCTCCTCCTCCTGCCCCTGTCCCCGCTCTTGTTCCTCCTGCTCCTCTTCTTCCTCCTCCTCCTCCTCCTCCTCCTCCTCCTCCTCCTCCTCCTTCCCGGGGGGCCGCCAGGTCCCGCGTCCTCCCCCCGGGCGGTGCGGGAGCTCACTCCCCGCGCTCGCCGCCTTGGGGCGGGGTCGGCGGTCCGTCTTCCCCTCTGTCGCTCGTTGTCGTCCGTCGTTCGTCGTCGTGTCGTGTCGTTTCTCGGCCCCCGCGGTCCTTTGGGCGAGCGGGGGCCCTGCCCTCTCTGCACCAGCGCCGCAGGCCCCTCTCCCCTCGCGGGAACGGTGCAGAGCACGCAGGGGCCCTCCGTTTGCCATTCGGGCCCGAAGCCACCGCGCAGTGAGCGGAGGGCCGCGCCGCGAGAGAGCGGCCAGAGGCGGCGCCGCCAGCCTGGCGGCATAGCACATGCAGGAGTCTTGCAAAAGCCAGCCTCATCACCATCATCAGCATCAGCAGCAGCATCATCATCAGCACCATCATCATTATCAGCATATCAACACCGTCCCCATCGCCATCGGCATCATCAGTACCATCATCATCGTCACCATCATCATCGTCATCATCAACACCATCATTATCGGCATCCTCATCATCATCAGCATCTTCATTGTCATCTTCAGCATCCTCGTCATCAGCATCAGATGCATCATCATCACCATCAGCACCATCACAATGACCATCCTCTTCATCTTGCACCTCCACAACGGGATCACTGTCATAGTTCTCCTCACCCGCACATGTTATTACCTTCATCTCCATCATCATCCCTCCCTCGTCTGTCCTTCATCCTCCTCGCCGTCCCTTCGCCTGTCTTCAAATTCCCCGCTTTTACCATCGTCCTTCTTCCCTGCGTCCTCTTCCCCCAGTCCTTCCTCCTCATCCTTATCCTCGCCCCTCACCCCGCGCGCGCCCGCGGGGAGGAGGAGAGGGAGGAGGAGGAGGAGGAGGAGGAGGAGGAGGAGGAGGACGAGGAGGAGGAGGAGGAGGACGAGGAGGAGGAGGAGAAGGAGGAGGAAGAGGAGGAGGAGGAGGAAGGAGGAGGATAATGAGGAGAAGGAGGAGAGGGAGGAGGAGGAGGAGGAGGAGGAGGAGGAGCGGAGCAGGAGGAGGAGGAGGAGGAGGAGGAGGATGCAGAGGAGGAGGAGAGGAGAGACGATGAGGAGGCGGCCAGGACGACGACGACGACGACGACGACGACGACGACGACGACGACGACGACGACGACGACGACGACGACGACTCGGCAGGAGCGGGAACGCAGCCACGGCGGCGCCAGCTGGGACCCCACCCTGACGCTCCACGTTGGGGGTTGTCGTCGACGCGTCGCCTTTGCCAACGTCGTCGTCCTCGTAAGCGCCCCCGTCGGGGAGGGGAGGAGGAGGAGGAGGAGGAGGAGGAGGAGGAGGAGGAGGAGGAGGAGGAGGAGGAAGCGGACGGATGAGGAGGGAGGAGGAATGGACGGAGAAGGAGGAGGAAGAGGAGGGAGGAGAAAGGAGGAGGACGGAGGAGGTGTAGTAGGATAACAGAAATAGAAAGTTGTATAAGAGGAAGAGGAGGGAGGAGGAGAGGAGGAAGAGGAGTAGAGAGAGGGAGGAGAAGGGATGAGTAGGGATGACCACATAGCGATGAGGAAGGGAACGAGGGAGGGAGGGCGAGAGCGTGAGCGAGAGAGCATGGCGTTTAGCCAACGCGTGAGCGAGAGTGTCCAGACCTTCCACATGGGGGCCTGGACGGAGTCGATGGGGTTAGAGGGTCGCGCCGCATTGCCGATGCATCGGCGATTAAATGGGGCCACGGAGTGAATGGAGTCTAAGGGTCGCGCCGCATCGCCGACGAATCGGCGATGTGGCCTGATCTGGCGGGATCTGAGTCTGGTGTCTCGGCCGCTTGCGCAGGACATCGCAGGACAGCCTTGCTACGTTGCCGTGGCTACTCTCGTTGCAGTTAATATTCATTGGCCAAGGTCTCGCGTGTTGGCTCGCCCTCACATGATTCCAACAGGGTTGCCTAGTGCATGTGTAGGGCACCACTGGTGTGACTTTTGGGGGAGACAGGTATAGGAATGCCGGGACGGTAGACCCCTGTTCAACAGGCCCTCTGCGATTGGTAATTGTCGGTTGCCGATTTCGGTCGCGCCAAATGTCGGTCGCGACTGGAAGGGGGCGAATCTCGGTAACGACAGGGCGGCGCGTTGGGATTTAAGCGAAGATTTCGAGGACGGTGGCGGATCGCTCGCAGCCTGATTTCGCGACCGGGGGCCGCATGTTTCGATCGCGACGGGTTCGTCCAGAGCGCTACCAGAAATCTTCGACGCCGGGTGATGTGGGGAGGCGTGGCCAGCATTGCAACGAGAGCGCGGTTCTGAGCGGCCAGGGGCGCTCCGATGGGGAAGCGGAGCGCGCGAGCGGTACCACCCCAGCTCGTGTGATCGAAGGGGGGGGCAAGCACAACGCGCAGGTGGCGGGTCAGAAAACGAACGTGTTTCGGGAAGCGAGCAGGGTAGTTTTCATCATAGCTGAGAGAGGGAGGGGAAGAGAGAAAGAGAGAGAGAGAGAGAGAGAGAGAAAAAAAAAAAGCGATAGAGAGAGAGGAGTGAGGAGAGAGAAGGCTGCGATCTCAAATGATCCATATGATATTCCCTCACCCCCCTCCTCCCTTTGGAAAGCAGCGAGGGAGGTTCCACCAGCCTGGCGCTGAAGACGTCAACCAGCAGGCCGCCGTGTCTGTTCTTGCGCACCGCCATGCCAAGCAAATGATCAGGAATAGGAGGAGGAGGAGGAGGAGGAGGAGGAGAAGGAGGAGGAAGAGGAGGAGGAGGAGGGGAGGGAGGAAGAGGACACAGGGAAGAGAGGAGGAGGAGGAGGAGGAGGAAGAAGGAGGGGAGGAGGAGGAGGAGGAGGAGGAGTCCGTAGCCATTTTGGCTCCAGTCCGTAGCGTTTTGGATCAGGACCTGGCCTTTTCTGGCAAGTGGGAGCAGCGGCCCCCAGCAGGGTCCCCCCGTTTGCCAGGCCGGACGATGTTACCTTGTGTAAGGTCCGGGTGGAGCAACGTGTCTTGCATTGACCGCCCATTCATGGGCAAGAAGCAGCATGCGGGTCACACTGTGCCCGGGCCGCCGCGGAGCGAGTGCTAGACGTGTGCAGAGTGCGCTTGTCAGCGCAATGAGGCTTGGTGGAGCTGGTGCAAACATTGCGGGACGACCCGCGCGACCCCAGCGTTCGGCAGGTCTGGGCGTGACCAGCAGGCCCTCCTGGTGTGGGGGGCCTGGTGCAGCTGCTCGGTGGCCTGGGCATCAGCTTCAAGCAGTTGGAGGAGGAGGAGGAGGCGGAGGAGGCGGAGGAGGCGGAGGAGGCGGAGGAGGAGGAGGAGGAGGAGGAGGAGGAGGAGGAGAAGGAGGAGGAGGCTTCGCGAACGGGGTGCCATCCGCGCTGCAGCCAGGGGCAAAGGAGGTTGCGCTTCGGGCACGGGCGCAAGGGCTCCTGCGGTCCCAGGGCTGCAGGTGGTCGGCGGCGGTGCACTCTCCAAGCCCCGTCAGCCCCAGTTCGGCGTCAGCGACCTTCCTCGGCTCAAGCAAAGCAGTTGGCCAGTACTTTCGAGGCTCTCGGCGATGAGCAGCAGCAGCAGCAGCAGCAACACTATGGCAGCACCAGCGGCAGGCTGGAAGCGGCTGAGAGACCGCCACCGCCTCCCACTGTCGGTATGGCCAAGCACGCGTGTGAGCAAGCACGAGTGCAGCTGGACAGGGCGGCCTGGGCGGCGGAGAAGCCTGAGAGTCAGCTCGAGGAGGCCAAGCAACGTGCGGTGCAGGCGCATGCTGAATTCGCCCAGCGGGAGGTTGAAAATCAGGCGGCGGTGCGAAACCTCATCACGACAGTCGTGCCACCGACCGAGGCCTCCACGGCGGCCGACCAGGGGGCCCAAGCCGACGCCGGATCTGCACGCGCTCCCCGAGGGGGGTGAGCTCGAGCTGGGCGACCACGGGGCCTTCGGCTGGAATTCTGGGATTGATCAATGATGTAGTCGATTCCCTACTCGAAGATGATGAGGATGATGCTGATGATGGTGATGATCATGATGCTGATGATGATGATGATGATGATGATGATGATGATGATGATGATGATGATGATGATGATGATGATGATGATGATGATGATGATGATGATGATGATGATGATGATGATGATGATGATGATGATGATGATGATGATGATGATGATGATGATGATGATGATGCGTGTCTCTTTCGTCGGAGGAGCGGCATGGGCTCGAGAGGCGCAAGCAGCAAGTCGCCGGCACCTGTCGCGGGGCGGCGGAGGCGGCCTCTTGGGCGAGGCCAAGGAGGAGGAGGAGGAGGAGGCGGCTTCGATGCTTGAGGGACAGAAGGAGCTCGCCAGGAGGATGGTGGAGTCCAAGCGCCGCCGTGCGGAGGAGCCTGGGTCTGGAGGGGCGCCCTGCTGAGCCAACCGCCCCGAGTGAAGGTGGAGGGTTAAAGGGCTGCGGCGGCGGCTGCTGTGGCTCCTCTTGGGCGCCTCTTCGGGCCTCTTGGCGGCCTCTTGGGGCCTCCCCAGGGCTTCTCGGAGCGCTTCTTGGGCCATCGAGGAGCCCTTTGGACCGTCTTGGGGCCCTCTTGGAGGCGTCTTGGGGCGGTCTTGGGAGCTTCTTGAGACGTCTTGGAGCGTCGGAAAGCCGAAACTGCGAGAAATACACAATCCTTCAAAAACCTTCGTAAGATCGACGATGCTTGCCTCTTAGGGCTCTCTAGGGAGGCCTCTTGGAACGCTCTTGGGGCCCTCTTGGGCCGTCTTGAAACCATTTTCGGGCACCTTGGAGCATTCTTGACTTCGGCAATGCGAATATGGTATAAGTTGGCCTCGGGGATGCGAATATTGTGTATTTGTTGCCTCGGGGATACAAGAAATGTATAATTTGCTAGGTTTTGTGTACAGGGGACGCGAATTTTGCGCAATGTGTAAATGATTATGTCTTCGGGGACGCGAATACGGCGTGATGTGTGAAGGTTTGTTGCCTTGGCGAATCTTACGTACTTTCACGTGTCCCACGCCCCCCCCCCAGGAATTCATGCAACGCGATTTGAGCGTGGTAGACTGCCGGTTTGGGGGCTCCTCCCCTCGAGCGGACTTCAGCGATCTACAGCAGGAGGCAGAAAGCAGGACTGTAACACCGGAGACCTGACACTGCAAGTGGTGCTCGGGGCGCAGCATGACCTTACCCTGCAGCTTGGAGGCCGCACAAAGGAGGCCGGCGGCTTGCGCTCCAGAGCGGGGCGGGAGGATTTTTGGTGACCCCTGCGCAGGCGCCCTGCGGGCGCCTCGCCACGGCAGCGCTGCCGCCTCGCCACGGCAGCGCTGCCGCAGGAAGAGCGAGGCGGGCACGACCAACGGGCACAGCGAGAGACCGACACGGCGGAGCAGACCGACGGGCACGGCGGGCACCGCTGGGGGGCCACATGCGAACCCTACCCCTACCCCCCACGACTTCTGAGGGGGAGGGGGGGGGTCACTTACATTGCCGTGACAAAAGTATTATGCGGTCTTCCTTCAACAT